GCAATGTTTTGTTGACAGAGAAAATAGGGAGGTGTTGTATTCCCTCAGCTCGAACTAGTACCGCTCTGATCGTGTGTTAAGATACGGCCAGGTAAAGATAGAGCTCTTCACCTGGCTATGGGGTGACCAGGATTGGAGCGGAAGAAAGATATGCTTTTAAGTCCGCCAAAGCTCGGTCGTATTCCTTGTCCTAGAAAAATTAAGACTTCAAAGTCTTGAAAAAGGGCCTGCAATGATCTGATGACCGGCTGATAAATCTGTTCAACGCGGTTGCCATTCCGGCAAGATATTGCACGTCCTTTGTTGAATTTGGTCGTTCTAGCTCTTGTATTGCCTTGATTTGTGAAGGGTCAGTTTCAATTCCTCGGTTGGTAACCAAAAAGCCTAGAAATTTTCCAGTTCCTACTACGAAAGCGCACTTGGAAGCATTCAACCGCAACTTGTGGCACTTGAGGATGGCAAACATATCAGTTAGGTTGCCGAGGTGCTGAGATTCATCCTTATTTTTGACCACCGTATCGTCGATATATGCTTCCATGGTGCAGCCAAGTAAAGGAGCAAACATTTTTGTCACCATTCTTTGGAAGGTTGCCCTAGCGTTCTGCAGGCCAAAGGGCATGACCTTGTAGCAATGTAGTCCTCTTGGCGTGGTAAAGGAAGTGATCTCTTGGTCTACTTCGTATATGGCAATTTGATGATAGTCGCGGTATGCATCAAGGAAGTTGAACATTTAGTGACCAACGGTTAAATCCACCAGCTGGTCAATTCTTGGGAGAGGAAAGCTATACTTGGGGCAAGCTCTATTGACCGTCTTGTAGTCGACGCATACTCGTCATTTTTCATTTTTCTTTGGAACCACCACAATGTTAGAGACCCACTTTGGGTATTGCACCTCCTCAATCGCCGCAGCCTCCAACAAGTTTTTGACCTCTTTTGCAACCACCTTGGCGTGATGCAAGGCTGAGCGCCGAGTTCGCTGAATAATCGATCGAGCAGTTGGAAAAACATTGAGTTGATGGCTGATGAAGTTTAGATTGATGCCAGGCATGTTGTAAGGCGTCCAAGTAAACACTTCAACATTGGAGGCCAAAAAGTTGACGTATTCCAGTCACTTGGCATTGGACAAAGATGAGCCCAATAGGAAGAACTTGCTTGGATCATTTTCGTCAATTTAGACCTCTATCAAGTCTTCCACTGATTTTTCCTCGGCCTTTCTCCCTACATCATCTAAGACTTCCTTTCTTTCTAGCCCCTCGATCATTTGGACAAAGCCTTTAGCAGCCCGGCTGCTGTTCACCGCAACAAAGCTTCGCTTCGGCATTACTTGGTCCCCCCATGCTTCTTCAATCTGGCCGGTATGGGTAGGGAAGCGCATGACTTGGTAGAAGGTTGAAGCCACCGCTTGTATGGCGTGCAACCATCCTCTGCTCGGGATCAAGTTGTAAGTTGATGGAACCTTCAATACCCAGAATTCCACTTGCTTTGTGATTGATCCCACTTTGACCGGTAAAATGATCTTGCCGATTGGCCATTCTGGCTGAAAGTTGAAGCCAACCAAAGGAGAGGTTGTTGGAGCCACGTCTTTGTCCTCCAGTCGCATTTGCATGAAAGCATCATAATACATGATCTTGATTGAACTTTCCTAGTCGATCAAGATTCTCTCGATGTCGAAATCCTTGACACGAAACGTGACCACCAAGGTGTCGTTGTGAGGGGTTTGAATTTTCTCCAAGTCTTTGCTTGAAAATGTCATGATGTTGTGCACCTCGGTCTTCCCCTTCTTTATGGCGGACTGAACTGATAACACTTCCCTCATGTGTTCAGCCTTCTTAATCATTCCTTTGAGCTCGCATACCCACGTTGGCTCAATGATTCCGTGGATGACATTGATGACTCCTTGTAGTGTGGCACCGAGGGTGGCTAGCCCATTTGGCTCGGCCTGCCCTTGTGGAGCTGCTCTCATGCCGCTGTCAATGTATTAGTCTAAATGCCTTGCTGCGACCATCTCTTCCAGGTGCTGTTTGAGTGGCATGCAGTCCTCCGTGTGGTGCCTTCTTTCTTCATGGTAGGTATAGCGAAATCTCGAGTTAAATCCCATTTGAGCCTCCCCTAATTTCGCCAGCCACCGGACATAAGTTTCGCCTCGAATTTCACTACGGATGCGATAGATTGGAATTTTGAAGATAGTGGTAACACCGGTCCGTGCCTTTAACTTTCTCTTGGTGTCTCATTGCGAGGAATGTTAGCCCTATCGTTGCCATGGCTCCTGTTTGCCCCGATCATTGCGACTAGCATCGCGATATTGATCTTTTGCTCAGTTGTTAGGGCGGTTATCCTCCTGCCCCACCGAGTTAACTTTCCCAACTATGCGTTTGTCTGCTACCACCGGATTTATCTTCTCGATGGTTGCGGCTGCGGCTGCGGCTGCGGCTGCATCTTTCTTGACTCGAATGTGCTCGTTAATTCGCTGCATCAATGACTCATCGTTGTGGGTTGGTGCATCGTGAGTCCCGTAGTCTATGTCCGACTGGTAGGCCTCGCTTGTACTGGGCGATCGCCAAGTTAGTAGGGTAATCAAGGATCTTGTTGTAGGTCTCCAAGTACTTGACGTTGTATGCTTTTAATGAATTGCCCGATTCCATCTTAATGCCCAGGAGGTGATCGACCTCTTTCAGTGTTCTAGTATTGGTCTTGAATCTGGTGACGAAGACTTCCGCAAGTTATTACCATCCCTCGATACTCCTCTCTGGCAACCTTTTGAACCATTTCAGGCCTAACTCCCCCAAACTTGCTGGGAATATAAGGCACATCAAGGCATCGTTGCGTCTATGTCCCGCCATTACTTGCCGGTAATGACTAACGTGCATGTACGGGTCCGTCTTGCCATCGTAGAGTGTGACTTAGGTTGGTGGAAACTGGCGGGGAGTGGCGTGTTTTCTATCTCAGAGGGGAGTGGGGTAGTGCTTAGCCTTGCTAGGTCTCTGTCCACCAGTGCGTGTGCCACCATTCGTGGTGGTGGCATGGCCACTTTTTCGCCGGAATGGACTCTGGGGTGTAGCCTCTGTAACGGCAACACTCTCTAGGCTGCCCTCTCGTGTGCACGCTCCTCCAGGACATCCCTCATGTCCTTCGATCGAGTGGAGTGAGAGTATCTCGATGTCGTCGACGGACGTAAAAGGCGATAGCTGCTATCTTTGGTATACTTACCGACGGAGTCGCCAACTCCATACCTTCTAGTAACAGAGAGTGAAGGTGTCATTCACCTGTTTTAACTGTCGGAGCGATGGAAAGCCCTGCAGGTTGGTTTGTCAAAAAACCCATCCAACGGCCAAGTTAGCTTTCTTGAAGAAGACAGAAGGCAGAGCACTGTAGAGAGAGAGAGAGAGAGAGAGAGAGTTGCTAAAAGTTGCTTACCTCCAACGTCTGCATGCGCTTCTTTATCTAGGCTGGCCATGCAGTCTCAGAGATTGTGGGCGCTCTATCTCTGCTATCCTTCAATAGACAGGCGGCTGTGCTCCTCTCTACATTCCTTACACGTGTAAAAACCAAAACCATCAAACAGTGTGTTGGCTTTTTTTGTCGCACAACCAAACGGTATTGACGCATATCAGGAGTGGATTCCTTTCTTCTCGCCATTGATCCACGTGGTACACCCAACCGTGCCACTACTTGGCAATAAATAGCACCAACTCTGACTTCCCAAATACCGGGTTAAGTCGGGTCGGCTGCTAGCTCGGCATCAAGGCCGAATTACATCCAATATGGTCTCCCTAATGCCGGGTTGAATGTGGGCAGCTGGCAGCTCGATCGAAGCATAGTCTGCATTCCTTCTGCCATCCCGGTCAAGATGATTTTGCTGGTGCTCCTTCAACCACGGTGATGAATTTAGCTCGGCCGCACCAAGCGTCATTCCAGGTCGGCACAACCCAACGCGTATGCTATGCGGTCTTTACTTGCCCCAAGCACCATTTCCGTGCTGACCCAAACTCGGCCCAACATAACTGTGTTGTCCCTAGCTCGGCCCAGTGTTCGGCGTAAATTCCCCTCTCAGATAGACTGGTAGATGTAGCTGTGTATACTTGCACAAATGGCCAATATTCATGCCCATATGCATGTAGTTACATAAACATACACAAAAAAGCAGATATATGTGAATTTATATAGAATTGTTAGAATTTACCATCACCTACCATACACTTACCATCACCTACCACACACTCACCTACTACACTCACCTACTCCTCACCTACCACCACCTAACCTACATCTATATAATCAATCAATTGTAACAGAATCATATATCAATACACATCAATCAATAATATACATCGGCCAATATTCATGCCCGTATGCATGTAGTTACATAAACATACACAAAAAAGCAGATATATGTGAATTTATATAGAATGCACGGATATTGACAATTGGACAATATCTTAGTCCTAGTATTAAACAATCACTGATCTCAATGACTGTCCTTGCATCTTTGTCATATCATATGTTTATTATCACTGATCTCAATGACTGTCCTTGCATCTTTGTCATATCATATGTTTATTGTCTGTCAGCTATAGTTGCAGAAAAACTTGATTGTTTTATAGCGCTCATCTGCTAAGCGTTTACATTACTGTCCATTCATGTTGTCACTGTTCTAATCATTTTATCATGGGCATAGTCATCTTTTGTTGTTTACTGTTCTATGTGGTGTTTACTCGTATCTGTGATGTTATTATGTGGTGTTGTTTGAGTCATGACCATTATGAATGTGCTGTGTACTGCAATAGGCAAGAAGCTAGTGTACATCAAAGAGTGTCTCCTCTTCAATTAGAAACAACATTATTGTGTTTTATATGTACACTGTAGATCACGGGATCCATTGTTTTAGTCAAGGCATGTGTCAGGAAGCACACTTAGATCACATGGTTTCGAGGTCTCCAAGTGAAAGGTTTATTGGTGTTGTTGGTTTCATCCTCCCTTTCGCCTCTTTATTTTGTTTTCAGTATCAATAAGTCAAAGATTTGCAACAAACTACAATGCAAGTTAGACTACAATCTCATGGTACATTGTTGGCTTCATCCTGGTTGGCTTGTCCTGACTTGTGCACCTTACTGATATCTTGAAGAGGCATCCACATTTTACGTATCCTTTTTTAGTATGAAGTGAAGTTTTGTGGCTAGATGTCTTGTGACTATAGTTTAGCACATCTCTTTTCTCTTTTGTTATATAGATTGTCTATTTATCTATTTTGATTGAGTATTGAACCTCAGGTCCTCAACATATCGAAAACTCAAGTGACTTTGAACATTTGAAGATTTTATTTACTTCTATTAACACAGGAATCAGGATCTATATAACTTGAAAGCCCTGGCTGACTACATTATTGGTACCTTACTTTGTTACATGGACTCGGGTACGGGTGTCGGTAGAGGTCGGACTCATCAAACCATAAATTTAAGGGTACGTGGACTCGGCAAAAAATGTTATATTTTTATATTTTTAATCAAGTATGTGAGATAAAATGATGTTATATGTAACTTTACAGTGTCAAAAAGGCATTTATAGCAATTATACAACAATATATATATAATAATAGTGTTATATACAATTATATATGAAGTATCCATTGAAAAGTATCCGACACATATCTTATACCCTTATCCGAGTGTGGGGTGTTCGACACGGGTATTTGATTTATTTTGAAAAGTCTGTGTAACATAGGTACCTTATAATCTTGTTATATTGTTTCTCTTCTAAATCCTCATTTGTCTTTGGTCCAAAAATCTTTTAATCCCATTGAAGTCTTCCATCTGGCTTGATTGTTACATTAAAGACCCTTGTAAAGCCAAGGCCTGACTTGGACGCCCACTCTATGAAGTGTGAACAACTGATGAGATGCTTTAGACAAGGAAAATTCTATTAATTTTTAGCTTGGTGGCTGTCATATTTGTAAGGTGGCAACCTTCCCTCTCCCATGCTTCCAGGTTTTTTTGGACCTGTACAGTTAGTGAGGCTGTAATCCAGTTATTTCCTCCCTTTTAGAGTTTTTAAATAAAAATTAAATGGTTATGTCTCACTTTTAGAGTTAATTGGTTCATGTTGGATGCTCATAATGGAAAAGCTTTAAAGTCGAGTCCATTTGGAAAGTTCTTATTAGTGTTACATTTGTCACTTACATTCTTTGCTAATTTCTTAAAGTTCTAATTAGTACAAGTCTACTAATTTTGTATTTTTAGGCCAAGTTTGGCATGAGACAAAAAAGACAAAAAGTCAAAAAGTCAATTTCCTATTTAAGTCACATCATCTTATTTAAGTCACATCACCTCTCTAACATATCACTTCAAACCCAACCCAAACCCAACCCATATTTCATAAAAAATCAAAAAATACACTTATTTAGTCTTCCCAAACTAGGCCTTAGTCAAAATCCATGTAAGCATAGAATAGAACTTTAGTAGCCTACAAATACCTATGTCATTCTTCTATTCAAGAGAGTGAAGTTATTGTTGCTTTACTAGGTAAGAATTCTACCGCAGATACAACTCAAGAATTAGAATCTTTTAATTCTACTCTTTCGTTGTCTCATATCAACCAACAAGTTGATACTGAGAAGACAGGGCCTGATAATGTTAAGGAACCTAAGAGCATGATAATTGAACCATTTACTCGCTGTTATGCTCTTGAACTTTTGAAAACTCAACGAGCTGCCACATTTGGAAAATCAAACCAAATTTCACACCTATTCTTCTCCAAACTATATTAACTTTCTTTTCTCTTTTAAAACCCCAACCATAGAAGCCTCCCAGAACCCATAACTCATCATAATTCCAATTGTAAGCGGCCATAGGTAAGTTTCCTAACTCTGTCTTGCATCAGGATAGATTGTTGAGTGTAAGAATAATTAAAAAAAAAAAGGTCATTGAGCAAACTTGTTCCTGGGTTTGAAATAGTACATATTAATGCTTTTGTTTATTTTCTCTTATTTTAGCATACACAATTGTTCAAACTTGGTATCTAAATGGCAATGCACAACATGTGGTGTCCTTGGTTTGTTTGTTTTGTTTTGTTTTTTTGTGGTTGGTAAGCGGTTAGTTTTATACCAAAAAATATAGATATTACAATAATGCTCATTACACAACCCTGAGGGTCCACAAGCTTCAAAGAAGTGACACACAAGTCAAAAGCTTGGACTAGATATTGTACCTAGAAGTGAAGTATATTATCTTGAACAGCTATCTCAGTAATGCTCGAGTTAGGCTCATTTGCATTCAAGGTTTGTTGCTAGAATTTAATGTGTTCACATGTTGGCATGCTTTTAAGTATGTTTGCAGCCAATAATTCTGCTGGCAATACTTCCAATGCACCCTTTTGACAAAAAATCTAAGACAAGGAGGGAATAAACCTATCATTGAGTAGTGTTTTCACTAGAAGCTTCACCTTGTAATTAGGCTAAAACGAACCGGAGACATTAAGTACCCTTTTTGCCTCGTACATGACTAGATTTATGTCCTGATTCATCACTCATGAAATAATTGTTTCTGGTTAATTTGGTATAGTGCAGGGCATTTCTGAAATGAAATTTAAATATTCTATTATTTCATTTTGTTATATGATCTCTCAAGGAAAAGGGACTTCTGTGATAATTACAGTGTTATCTTACATAAATTTCAGATGTGTCAAAGTAATTAAGTAGTAAACTGTTTGGGGCTATTAATCTGCGAAGGATGAATTTAAGTTTTACAACTTCTGATTAAAACTGCAGGATGAGAATTTACTGTAAACTCTGCCATTAGTCGCTTAACAATGGATGGGGTTGGGACCCTATACACTGTACTTAAAAGTTACAATAGCATATGCAATTGTGAGAAGATTTTAATTTCCCCCCCCCCCCCCCCCCCCCCCTTCTTTTTTGGATTTTTAATTTTAGGGTTGGTTTGAGAAGATTCGGATTTTTAATTTTAGGGTTGGTTTGGGATGATCTAAATAAGTTTACTTTTTAACTTTTTATGAAATATGGGTCAGGTATGGGTTGGGTTTGAAATGATGTGTTAGAGAGGTGATATGACTTAAATAAGATGATGTGACTTAAATAGGATAGTGACTTTTTGACTTCTTGACTTTTTTAGATCATGCCAAACAAGGCCTTAACCTGCTTTTAGAAACACTGAAATTTTAAATCTGATTGATTTTCACTGCAAGACAGATCCTTCCAAGTTCTATAAGATGACGGTACTGAAGAGGTACGTGCTAAGGTTGTTCATATCGTTGAAGTACATCACAGCAAATGTAGTAGACAGAAACAATGGACGGATCGTTGCAACAGCGTCAACAGTGGAACATTCCCTCAAGAACACGCTCGAGTGTGGTCGGTCTTGCAATGCCAAGGCAGCAGCGGTTGTGGGAGAAGTGTTGGCGATGCGACTCAAGGTGGAGGGTCTCGAGCAGGGACAAGAGAGAGGAATTCATGTCAATGTCAACAAAGAAATCGAGAAGAAAGGTTTCAAGAACCGTACTAAGGTCTGGGCCATCGTAAATGCTCTTAAGAACAGTGGAGTCAAACTCATTCTTGATGATGATGATCACAATGGTACCTCACCGCCATGTTACTGATAATTTTTCATTAGAGTAAGAACCAACCTCCCCCTTGTGGTGCTTTGTTATGGTTCAGAAGTAGATTTTTGAATTATGTACTTTTATTCAAAAATTAATATTTGAACCAAAAAAAAAAAAATGTATGGACTATGATAATATGATGTGTGGAATCACCCCGCATCGCACGCGTTTTCACCTTCTAGTACGTACGTACACATTTGTGTGGCCTAAATTTCAGCAAATGAAACTTGTTGCGCAGTTGGTTTTAATCCTCGAAAAATGTTTGGGAGCACTAGTTAGTGCTCCCACTAATTAGGTGGCAGTGGGTCTCGCCATTAATGATGTGATGTTTTGGTCTTGGAGTTGTATTTTTTTTTAATTTTTTTTTACTTTTTTAATGTATTAGTGCTATTAGTGGTGATTTTTTAGTGGGATGAATCATTGTTGTTTAATCCTCTCCAACTATTAGGTACATTATTTATTTTATTTTTTTAGATTAAGGCCTCGTTTGGGAACATGTTATTTTAGTATTTTTTTAGTTTTTTACGAAAAGATATGTAGAAAAGTAGAGAGAGTGATGTGATAATTTATAATAACTTTTTGACTTTTTGGCTAAAGGGTCTGGCTTCCCTCTAGTCTCAGATCGGATTAGATGGTGTGGGACGAAAAGATATGTAAAAAGTAAAGAGAGTGATGTGATAATTTGTAGTAACTTTTTGACTTTTTGACTAAAGGGCTTGGCTTCTCTCTAGTCTCAGATCGGATTAGATGGTGCGGGTCTCATCACGGGTCTCGTTTCGATAATCCGAACTGTTCAATGTGTAGAACTCGTCGAGTACTATATGTCAGTAAAAAATTACGTTGATCGGATATCGATAATTATATAATCAAATCAGTTTTGTATATAAAAAAAAAAAATGGACGGTGAAAAAATAAACGGTTGACAGAAAACTGATCTGAGAAGATAGCTATTGATATCCGATCAATATGATTTTTTGTAGACATATAGTACTCGACGAGTTCTATACATTGAACGGTTCAGATTATCGAAACAGGAATCGTGGTGGGCTCCCATGGGCCTAACAGCATCCTCCAGACCCTTGAACTAGAGGAAAGCCACTGCCTTGGCTAAAACATGTAGTTGGCAAACGAGGACTATGAATCAAGAACTACTTCAGAGTGGATATTTTCATTATGTAAGACTAATTATCATAACGATGAGATTGAAGCAGATATGATCTATAGAATTAAGACGAGGTGACTTAAGTAAAGGAGTGTGTCTGCGGTATTGTGCAATAAATGAGTACCTATTAGACTAATTTTTTTTTTATAGAACGACTATTAGACTAACGATGTTATATGTGATGGAATGTTAGGCAATTAAGAAACAATATATACCTAAGATGATGTTAAGGTAGATTTGTGCCAAATTAGAAAAAATAAAGTTAAGAATGAGTATATTTGTGAATAGGTAGGAGTAGCATCAATAGAAGATAAATTAAGAAAGAATAAATTGAAATGGTTTAGTCATATATAACAGAGACCAACTGAAGCAATAATGAAGATGCGATATAGTGATAATAGATGGAAGTGTTAAGGGAAAAGACATATCTAAATTGACGTAGGCTAGTGTAGTAAATAGAGATTATGAATCTCCTTAATTTAACTAACCAAATAACCTTTGATAGAGTCGGATGGAGAAGAAGGATTCATGTAACCGATCTCTTTTTATGAGAGTTAAGGTGTGTTTTGGTTTGGTTTATTTTTGTTTTTTAGGTAAATTATAAATACACATCCTGAGATTTGTTAAAGTAAAGATTGACCCATGTGGTTTGAAAAATTACAAATACTATATTTTTAGATTTTTTTATTTAAAATAATTAATTAAAAAAATAAAATTCATAATTATTTTTCAATACAATAATACAATTATCTAAATTATTAATTAAAATATATTTTTAATATTATTAAAAACTGTTAATTGATTTGATAATTTATTAATAAAATGAGCCATTTATTAAAAAATTAAAAAATTAAAAACTCTAAGGGTGGAATATAATTTTCAAAACTACATAAGTCAATTTGTATTTGAGCAAATCTCAAGGCCATTTGTAATTTATCTAAATATAAACTATAAAGAGAATATCTGAATACTTTATCTCTTCATATCCATCAATACTTTTCTTGTAGGCTCAAATTCGAATTCACATCAATGATCCAAACAGGTTTGCTTTGTAAGTCATATAACAAAGGTCATCCATGAAAAAAAAATCAATTTCATCAAATATCTAAAAATACAAGAACAAATCACATTTTGTTTCATAACATAAATAGCAAATAGGATTGTAAATTTAAATCATTTATTTTGTAAACAAAACGTAATTTGTTTAATTCTTCTTGTAGTTTCAAGAATAATTACAACAGTTCATATGCAATTCTTGTTTTTTTTCTTCTTCGTCGTCTTGTTTCAGGGAATAATTACAACAGTACACCTGAAACGTCAATTCCTTGCTTTCCTACTGAGATTTATTTTATTTTTTATTTTTATTATGTCTTTTAATGGTAAAACAGAGGAGTTTAGGGTTTGGTGCTCTGTTTCACCAATAATTGAACAATGTGTTGGCATCCTTGTAGCCGTGGATGCATTTACAGTTTTGCATTTAATTTAATTTAATTTAATTTTGGTAATTTGATGAATGAGGAAGATTGGTTGCATTTAAATGTATTACCTGTTAAAAATATGAGTATTTTTTTTTGGGGAGGGGGGGAGGGTTGGAATTAATTTAATTTTTGGTAATTTGATGAATGAGGAAGATTGGTTGGATTTGCAAAATGTTAGTAGTCATTAGCAGATAACAATATGAACATTCTTGAAAATAAAAAATAAAAAAAATAAAGTTTCAAAACTGTTATGAGTTGGACTACATGAACTGAAATCAGAATTTTTAGTGATTAAATAGATTAAATTAATAGTTTAGGATGAGATAGAAAAAATTATGATAGTTTAGGAGATAAAAGTGAAATTAAACCTGGGTTGGATGTGATGTTTTGTTTGTTATGGCTAAAATAGCCTGTTTTGTCTTTTGTGGCTATTTTAGCCCCAACCCAACTTGCCAAACACAAAATAAATAGATTCATAATTAACAATTCAGAACAAGAACCATGTTGCAAATTATAAGTTGAACATAAATACATAATAAAATAAAATGACAAAAAGGAAAGCAAACTGAAACCTGCGCTAGACAGTATCCTTTAAACAGATTCGCCGCTTCATTGGTTGGGCGCTAGAGGTTCTTCGACGTCTGTTTCCCAGGTTACGACGGTTGGACCAGCTACAATAATGCATCGACTGAGTAGCTTCGGTGAACAGAACTATGACAGCACTCTCTCACTAGGAAGAATAAAATTGAAGGAAAACTTTTGAAAACCAAGAAGAGCAAATATTTTGGGTAATGACAAAGAAGGAGAGGGCCTCCTTTTATAGATATGGAGGGAGAGAGGAAAAGACTCCTGCCATCAAGGCCCATCACAAATAAATTCTGTACTAAACTTGCAAAACTGCTGGAATAATTCATTATCATTATAAAGGAGTTACACACATTTTATACACCTGTGTAATGTGTATAATTCTGTTGCCCACAAATTTAGCTTGGCCTAAAAATATTTACATGGGTGGGTCAAGCCCAACCCCCACACTCAATCCAATCCAGCAAGCCTCAAGCCCAAGATCCATTAATCACGAACCCGAACCCGAACCCGGTCCAGTCCGGGCAGGTGGAGCGCGCGTGGCAATTTTTCCATAACCAACTTGGACCATAGTCTTGGCCCAAGTCCATCTTTAAAGTATCCATCACTCCATTCCTTAAAAAAATTTAGATGCACCAAAGGGCTCACACCCTTAGGCAAAAAAATGGGATTTAAATACCCATCAATGCTCTTCTCTACAATTAATGTGGGATAGAAGGTTTTACACATTTCTCAATACCTCTTTCATGAGGCCAACTTAATAAGTTAATTTCTCATTCAAATCTTAATGGTTTTTGGTTATTTTTTTTGTAGAGTAAAGATTTCATTATAAAGAATTTAAACTCACTTTAATCTATCTCAATTGAGGATTGATAACCACTTTAATATTGCATTAAAGTCACCCAAAAAACCATTATTTTTCCAACAAAAATGATAAGGTTTTAAAAGCATTCTGATTTGTGTGATTCATAGGAGGATAGATAAAAGTATTGACTTGTTGTAGGGGAGTTCGAGGTGAACAGTGATTAAGAGAGTGATTAGAGAGGTAAAGCTATGTTGATGGTCCAATAAAGTTGGAATGGCTAGAGAAATGAGTTAAACAAAATCTAGGAAAGGTGGAGAATGAGTAGTTGGGTGAGAGTGGAGCAAGTGATTCAAGAAGAATAGAAAGGCAGTGCATAAATGGGCAACATCCAAAAATCCTCCTTTGGACCTTTGGAAATGAGTCATATTTATAGGCTTTTCTTTAGTACCAAGAGGATACCAAGTGGCCAAATAAAATGAGGACATGTGTCCCTAAGAATCACATGGAATATTTTGCCTTAGACCACCAGGCTAAAGGTGTCACGTGTCCCTTTGCATGTACTATGTACTATCTATTTGGCAGAAGTGCCACTGTAACTACCTTTTGAGTCGCTGCAAGTGCACTTACGGTGGTAATGTTTTGTGTTGCAACTACTTTTTGAGCCTTAGCAAGTGCACTTGTAGCTGTAGTGTTCGCTGCTACACTTACCTTCTCAACTTGAACCTTAGTAAGTGCACTTGCAGCAGTAAACCTTATTGTTGCACTTGCCTTCTTAGTTCTATTTAGCCAGGACATGTATTTTTAGGATTTCATAACCTCCTATCAGCCATGTTCGCGTTCACCTCAACGACGCCTTCATCCTTAGCCATATAACCACAAACTCTCCAGCTTTCCAAAGCGAAGGCCACAGCCAAGCCTGCTATTAGTCATGTTGTGCCTTAGTACCAAACCCAAAGGGGCTTCTTTGGCCCTACATGTGCAACTAAGGCAGGTACATGACCTGGGTAAATGGAAAGGGAGTCCCTGATACTCGGGGTTACCTTGCTCCTATCTTCGCAGGGTCGCCGCGGTACATTGGTGTCTCTGGACCTGCAATCAGCTCCAACTAGTAAACTTTGCGGGCCTGCTATCAATCCCAGGCTAGTAATGCATTGGGACTTTCTATCGGCGCTAAGCATTAGCCTCTATTTGTAAAGGGGAAGCTTTTCCCAAAGGTTG